TCCAAGAAGCAGACGGAGACGGCACTCTCTTCCGTAGAATCAGAGTACATGGCGATGTTCCATGAGGTGAAGGAGGTGATTTGGCTGAGGAGGCTGTTAGAGGAGATTGGCTAGGAGCAGAAAGTTGCTACGCCGCTGTTTTGTGATAGCAAGGGGGCTCTTGGGATGGCCAGAAACGCTGTGCTTCATGGGCTGAACAAGCACATGCGTATCAAGTGGCACTGGCTGCGTAAGGAGGTGAAGAGGGGGACGGTGCATCCGATCTACATCAAGACTCACCAGCAGCCAGCAGACTTTCTCACCAAGAGGCTTGCGGATGAGCCTCATTGGCGTTGTGTGCGCATGAGTGGAATGAGCATGAACTAGCATGGAATGACGGGGATGCAGCCGGCAGGCTGAGGGGGAGTGTGTTGGGTGCAAATGCACATTGCACGACATCCTGCCGTCTGTTTGTACGAGTATGCGTGTGCGAATGCATTTGCGTGTGAATGGTGTGTTCGTGTGTTTGTTTGCTTTCGCATTTTTCGCTTGATGCATTTGCAGGTACTCGCGCAATGTGCGCTTCGGCACAACATTGTACGCGCTATGAACAGTGCAAGCAGAAAGGACGAGCTCGCAAAGGAACCCAAGATGGAAGCTTTGCAGTTCGATTGAGTTGATTGCGCAGATTCAGTTCTATCCAACTCGAAATTGTACTGTTTTGTTTGGTTAACTATAGTGTAGCAGGGAAGGCACTATAGGGGTACAATTTAGGTGAAGGTTGGATGTTGTTTGTCTGTATCTGCATGCTACAAGGCCAGGGGAAACCAGCGGAACCAGCATTTGGCTGGTTGGGCAAAGACAAAACAGGTTCTGTTTTTAGAACCTGAACCTGGTTGTTGTTTTCCCAGGTTGGAAAAACAGAACCAGAGGTTGTTTACCAACCTACCACCTGCTATTTTGTCCAGCCAGGTTGGTTCTGTTGCTTGGAATTATTTGGGATCATCCCTGGTTGTTCCCAGGTTGATTCCCAATGTCCTTGCTAGCTAGAACTATTTAATCCTTCTCTGTTTGTACCTGAATATAGTCAAATTGATTCATGCGAATTCCTTCCTCGCTGGAATTTCGTTTCTGCGCTATTCGACGGCGGAATGCTACCCGAGTCAACGCTAGTATGCTAGCACTCCAACGCTAGGCAAACGCTGTCTGAGCCATAACTTCGTAATGGCAGAACTTTTCGCGAGGCAACTTGGCTCATTTTAAAGCTCTTGGAGCGAGCTTCGATATAGCGAATTCTCAGCTTAATCCGATCGACGGTCTGCACGGCACGCTGCGCGACGTTCAAGGTACTCTTGCTGTTTTGACTAAGTCCTTCTTGATCCCTCTCTCTACAAACTCGGACCCGAGGATAGGGGCTGGTCTTGTACCAGGCACCCAGGGACCCTTGGAGGTGACCCCGAGGAGAGGTTTTAAGTTTGATTAAGTCCTAATAGCTTGAGTTTATTAGGCCCTTACACCAACATCCTCCTCCCAAAATTCGGTGCGAAACAGCAGCTGCTCGCGCCAGGTGCAGATGTTAGCTCCCACCTTATACAAAAGCTCCATACCGAGCAGCATGTCATAGTCATCCGATTCGGTAAGGCAGCACTGCACTCTTATGCGGGTTTCCTGCTCCTTGCCCGGCAGCAACACTACCTCCAGCGGCTCCTTCGTACTGGGCATCCATTTGGGTGCCCCACCTTCTGCCGTCATGATAAGCATTCCCTTCTCCTGGACCTCCACTCCTTCCTTGCGTTGCAGCTGCTCACTTAGCTTGCGTCCCAGCAGCACACTCTGTGCCCCCGTATCCACCACCATGTTGTTCACTCTTATGCCTTTCACTGCGATTGCTCCAGCCTCCACTTGTATTGCTATTGGCTGGCACAGCAGCCTCTCCTCCGGCCTTCTCTTCGCCCTTCCTCCTATCGGTTCCGATTCTGTCTTATCCTTCATTCTCCGTCCATATGTTTTCAGTTCTGCTCTGCCGTCCTTCCCTCCACTTCGCAGTCCCAGCTCTTCCCGTGCCCGTGGTACTATAGCCACATACGCGCGCTCTGGCTCTTCCTCATCCGAATCCTCCTCATCATCTTCCCACGCCATCATCGCTCGTTCGGGGTCTTCACTGATTTCTGCCTTACCCAACTGCGCGCGGAGCTTCTTCAGCTCCTGCTCCAGCTGTTGCTCCCTGCTGGATTTACTCCGGTCTCGTCTTCCTTCACTATAGCACTGTTCCTCTGTGTGCCCTCTCCGTCCACAGCCCGCGCAGGTAGGCGCCCTCGGGCAATCCCTCTTCAGGTATCCCTTCTGCCTGCAGATGTCGCACGTCTTCTCCGCCACACAATCTCGGCGGATATGGCCCACTTCCCCACACTGGTGACAGTGCCGCCGGTCTTCTCCCCGGGTGCGCTCTTCCTCCTCCTTCCTCCTTCCTTCAGGTGCCGCCCACGCTGGTCGCCGCCGCTCGCTGCCGCGGCTGGTGCTCCGCATAGCATCAAAGAATCTTCTCCCTTCTTCCACCTCCTTAGCGACCATGTACACCTGCCTGAGCTTCGCTCTAACGCCCAGAGAATACAGCTTGGGCTTCATGTCCGTCACCAGGCCCTCGTCCAGCCCGTTCATGAACTTGGTAACCATAGTTCTCTCTTCCGCACATCTGAGATCCTCCGCCAGCTCCACGAGCCTGTTGTAGTACGCGAGCAGAGACTCAGAGCGCCCCCTCTTGAAGTCCTGGAACTCCACCAGCCGCTCAGCAAAGTGCCCTGGAAACTGCTCCTGCAGAATTTCCAGAAACTTGTCCGTGATCTCTCGTGGCTGCAGCTGGCCTTCGTTACACTGCCTCAGCAAACCCGTCCGTTCAACGCGATAGTGTGTCTGTGCTTCCCCTCTCAACGTCTTCCCCAATCCGCGGAAGAACTCAATGGGGTCGAGTCCCTCCCGATCCCAGCAGTAGCGAATGTCTTCGATCATCATCAGGTAATTTTTCAGCGTGGGCTCCTCCCCCGGTACACCTGAAAATCTTTCAGGAATTTCAATCTTGGGCACCGTCAGCCCCGCCGATCTCCCACTGCCCCAGCTGCTCGCAGGCTCTCCAGATCTGTGTGATCCTCCAAGTTGACTCTCGTATCGCCGCTGTGATGCTTCTTGATTGCCACCCCCCAGCTCAGTTTCCCGCCATCTTCCTTGGTTGCCCATCGGATCCGTTTCCTTCTCCCTTCCTACAGGCGTTCCCTTTTCAGATCCGCGCTCTGATCCCTCTTTGCTTTCTCGCCCTGGGGTATGGCAGGTGGATGACTCCGTACGCCCCGTTGGCTTTTCCGTCGGCCCTTGGCCCGCTCCTTGTCCAGGTTCATGAGATCCAGCTCGAAATCCCTGACGAGCCGCCTCTTCACCTCCTTCAGGATCCCCCATCACTCGCGTCGAGTATTGGTTCCCCGATCTCAGCTGTCGGATGTATAGTTCCGGATCAGATCCGTGCATACCCCGTGGCCCTTGGCCTATCTTAAATCCAGCACTAGCGTTGCTTCCGCTGAGGCCTTTTTGCTTGTTTGGAACAAGCCCCGCAATACCAGTGCTGTGCGCAGACAATTGCTCGAGCTCCTAACACTGCTAGCTTCGAATTGAAGTCAAATTTGCAGTACGAAAGGAACAAACAAGCAAAAAGCGAGTAGAATATTTGGACCCCTGTCAGATCTATCCGTGCTACTCCTAGAGTGGCCCTCTAGCTCCTGGTGCGCGAAGAACCCTCTTCGGCACACTTCCAATGTGCTAGCTGGCTACCTACGAGCTAGCTGGAGTCCAGCTTCCCTATCGCCATCCAGCTCCGCACCGCATGCGTTGGGTTTCTCCTCCCAATTCCCTCGCGCCTTGAGCACACCAACCCCCTCGAAATCTGGCCAACAACTCCCTCCCAAAACGAAATAGCAAGAACAGTATAGTACAGTACACAGTAAAACGAAAACAAATAAAAGCAAGCTCCACAAACTTACACTTGCTGCTGCACTACTTCAGCTGTGGTTCAAAACCAAGCTTAATAGTGCGACAAACACGCTTACTCTTGTGGTTCTTACTCCTGATACCAATCATATGGCTAGGTATCACGCTTACTCTAGGTGCCACTCATTTGGCTAAGTAACGCGCTTACTCTTGGTACCACTCATATGGCTAAGTAACGCGCTTACTCTTGGTACCACTCATTTGGCTAAGTAACGCGTTTACTCTTGGTACAAATCATATGGCTAAGAAACGCGCTTACTCTAGGTACAACTCATTTGCAAAATAACGCGCTTACACTGGGTACCACTCAGATGGCAAAGTAACGCGTTTACACTTGGTACCACTCATATGGCTAGGTATCGCGCTTACTCTAGGTACAACACATTTGCAAAATAACGACAAGTGACAAATGTAGCTAGAACATGCGTGACAGTAGGACTAGCAGCACGAGCAAGGTAAGACTCAAAGTCAGGAACGTCAGGAACGAGACGGTAGAGAAACACGCTGTGGAACAGAGGAAGGACGAAGTGTCATAGTGTGAGTGCCGGGGACTGGAGGAGGACGAGGACGAGGAACATGATGAGCACGGCGAACAATGCGAACAGGCGAGGCAGGACGAGACGCAGGCTCACGTCGCTTGGTTAGTGAGTCTGGATGCTGACTATATGGAGAAGGAGCAGGTAGTGGGGAGTCCGGCGGTAACTTTGTCTGAGACGGGTCAGGCGGTGGACACAGTAAGGGAGGAGTAACGCCAATGGAAGACAGAAGACTAAGATTTTGGAGAAGCGCCGAGCCAGGTGGTGGAAGTGAGGACTGCGGCTGCGGTAAGAAAAACGGTCGGAGCTGTGCAGTACCCACGGTACCAGAGCCTGCAGCTCCTGTATCTCCAGTACCAGCACCTCCAGCTCCATTACCTCCAGTATCTCCAGCACGTCCAGCACCTGTACCTCCAATGCCTCTGGTACCTCCAACACCTCCAGCACTAGTACCTACAGCTCCATCACTAGGACCTGCAGCTCCAGCGCCTCCAGCACCCTTAGCATCAGGACCTCCAGTCTCAGCACCTCGAGCACCTCTCGTACCTCCAACTCCGCCACCGCAGCGAAACCGCCGAAGCTGCTGTGGCTTGAGAGACTCCTAACGACGAGACTGCTGCTGCTGTCCACTCCCAGAGCCTCCAGCAGGAGCACCAGCGATTCCACCACCACTAGGACGCTCAGCATCCCCAGAACCAGCACCCCCAGTCTTAGAAACCCCATAACCAGCACCTCTAGTGTCACCACCCCTAGAGTCCACACCCCCAGCGCCACGACGCCCAGCAGCACCAGAGTCTACAGGAACAGGCTCCAGAGGCGGCGAAGATGGCCGAGGTGGAAAACCAGGAGGGGTCTCCAAGCGCGGTGAGCGGCGAGTGGCCGCTGCGTCGTCCGCAGCAGCATCACCCCCTCAGCTGGGCCAGAGGTGTCAGAGGTGACCTCCAAAGGCTCAACCAAGGGGGGTGGGTCTACCTGAGACACACCTGAGGGAGCAGGACCTTGTGGGGGGAGGGGGGGGGTCCTATCGGAGGGGGAACCTGGAACCAGGAAGAGAGAGGCGAGGGGGGGATGGGGGTAGTGCGAAATTACAAGGAAGCGTTGGAATATGTAGATAATATCATAAATGCAGAGCAACATCTACATAGGATACCTTCACAGCTCCAATATATATTCTAAAGTCTGAGATATTAAGCTTCATGGGAGAGTATGACAAAACTTATGGAACCATAAAAGGAAATAAAAAACAGGAAATATCAGGCGGTCATATCTTACACGAAATTCATGCTAGAATGCTTACACAATTATCTAGAGCAGAACTAGGGTTAGAATTAAAACAAGGAGCATTAGGGTAGAGACTTTAGAAGCAAACCGACTCGTCAAAGGTGACGTCCTTGGATGACAGGACGAGATGCGAGGCTGGGTGGTAAAACTGCCAGCCAGGCGCGTCGGTGGGAAAGCCAAGGAAGACGCAGCGAATGGTGCGAGAAGAGAGCTTGTCCGCGGTAGTATCGCGGACAAGGGGAGCTCCCCCAACCCGAAACGCCGACGCATCGCGAACCTCCCCCGTCCAACGCTGTATAGGCGAGCTCTCTGGAAAGGACACGGGGCCAGAGGTTGAGCTGATGGACGGCATGTCGGACCGCAAACGGCCACAGAAAATGGGGAGCAGCCACATGGATCATGGGAGTCCGAACAACCTCTATGATCAAGCCATTACGGCGCTCAGCAATCCCATTATGCTGCGGACAGGCCACAAGCGTAAAAGACTGGGTGATGCCATCAAGAGGTGGGACGAGAACTCACCGCCTCTGTCAGGGTGAAGACGCAGGACCGGAATGTCCAACCGGAACCGCTCGCGGAGCTGGCGACGGATAGTGTGGGTTGGGGATTAAGACACTAGGAACATCCGCCTTGCTCTACAAGGGGAAGACTGCAGTGTAGTGCATGTTGTCGTCAACAACCAGCAAAAAGCAGCGCTCGTCGTCCGGTCCACTAACACGGGCTGGGCCCCAAACGTCCATGTGGAGAGTCTGTAGAGGAGCCCCCGTAGGAGGAAACGAGGAGTGAGGAGCGGCGCGCTGCCGCCCCTCGACACAGGGCAGACACGGCGATGCAGGCGAGTACGGGAGCGGGGGCAGGGACCTGGAGAGGCCAGAGACAAGGAGACGGGAGTGCATGCTACGCAGACGCGACAGAAAGGGGTGACCAAGATGGTGGTGCCAGAGTAGAGTTTGGTGCGTGAGAACTCGACACGAGCAAGACGCAACTAACTGACCTGATGCAGCCACCTGACCGGACGCAGCTACCTGTGCGGACTCAGTGGTCAGTGTGTACTGGCCAGACCTGAGTCAGTGTGAACGTGACAAGTTAGTTGCCATACCGTGATTCCGTACTGATTGCCACAAGCTCACCGCCAGGAGTAGTCACAGTGACAAACTGGTCCTGGAGGACAGCGTTACTCACCAAGTTCGTAGTGAACGAGGAGAGGTGGAGACCTGCAAGCGAGCTGGAAGGGGCTGCCGGACACGGGAGAACGGTGGAGGCACGTGCTACTACTAGGACCCTAGGGGGGTCAGTCAGAGTGACCGGAACAGGTGTATTAAGCAGTGTGACTGTGGTGCAGTCACGGATGAAGTAGAGACGCGCCTGAGTCAATCGTGAAGGTGTGCAGAGCCTCCGCAGGGGCTACACATGAGCTAGGCTCAACAGCACCTTGACTAGTAGCCTCTAAACCAACATGCACACGTCGGTAGAGAGTCTCCTATCGACGAGCCTACTGCTGCTTTCCAATACCTCCAGCATAAGTACCTTACCGAATAACACACTCACTAAGTTGCTGCGGCGAGAGAGTCTCCTGTCGACGAGCCTGGCGGTGCTGTCCAGCACCAATGGGGAGAATCACTCCACAATAGTCGTGACCTAGACTACGGGGGTTGGCACAATCTAGGAGTTAACGTAGCTTTGCCTTATTCCTTAGTACTTGCACAATCACGGGATAGTTTTGCAAGGGTTTCTACTAGCAAAGATTGAATGACTGAATAATTGAGTCACAATGACAAGAATGACTACATCAGGCACCTAGAAACCCTGCAGCTAGCTTGGTCGATCGCCAGTACAGCATGGTCGACCGCCTGCTAGCGTTGAGTAGCGGAGCCGCGTCTGCATTGCAGAAACGCGGCCTGCCAACACAACAGGTCGATAGCGTGCCAATGCTGCAGCGGAGCGGCCGTCCAGCATTGCGCTAGTAGAAGACAGCAGTGCGCACGTCCGATGGTGCGCGCAGGCAATTGACCCGATCTGCACCGTTGTGCATCCATCGGCCCTGGTCCGCGCCTGACGAGCCACATCAACTTCAGGATACCAGCCCGAGGTCGCCTTCGCCATTGCAACCTCGACGACGTTTGCGTGCATCCACGGAACTTGCCGAGCAGGTTACCCGATCGACCTGGTCCACCACCCAGTGAGCGCCTTGGTCGACGAACCCCTCGTCGACCACCGCGCCCGTCAACTGCTCCTCCTGGTTTATGGCCCGTTCGTCGACCAGCTCAGTCAGCTGCAGCCGTAGTCGACGGTTCCAGCTCTGCGACTATTCTGTGCAGGTCAACGACCACCTCGTCGACCTGCCCCACAAAAGTAGGACGTCGGTTCCCTGTCCACGGCAACACCGCAGCGGTCCCTTGCAGCTCGACAAAGCCGTTGAGCATCTTGCTCCTTGCGTACGGTCGGCCGCTTCTCCCGTACACCCGTTCAGGACGTCGGCGTCGCCCACAATTCGCGGGGCCAACACTCCATTCCCGTTAACACTCCCCTGCCGCGCTCACGCTTAGGCTCCCCACCCACACGCAAGTACCCCAAGGGGAACACTCATTATTGGCATGCACCCCACACGCAGCACGCCGTCACCGCACCAGCAGTGCAAAAGGGCACAGAACCTACTGCTGCACATCGTCGTCACCTCCGCCGACTTCGGCCAGGCGCACTTGGCCGATCGCGACCAAGCATCGGTTGAAGGCCGGAAAGTGCACAGTTTTCGTCAAAAGGTTGGCCGTCTGCCCGGTGGTCGGGATGTACCCCAGCACGAACTTCTCGCGCTTCACCATCTGCTGCTATTAGGCGTAGCGTCACTCCATGTGCTTGAGGATGCCCATCAGCTCCAAGACTTTTGCGACTGTGATCACCGACTTGTCCATCCGGAGGGAGTTGGTGCCCCAGAATTGAGCAGCTTGAATCCTGCAGGAAGGAAGAAAAGTTGACGCCCCTCCTTGCTGGCGTCCGTGGCCACAACATACTCTAACTTAGTCAGGAAAAGGTCGCGCATTTGATGCGCTGGCTCAATCACAAAACCGCGTCCCCTCCACAAACAAGCACGTAGCCGGCTGTGCTCGTCCTGTTCTGCTTTTCACCGGCGTTGTCGGCATCCATGTAGCGACCAGCTTCAGCGACTTTTGTCCACCGCCAAACTCCAGGGCGGTGTCGCGGGTGTCGGCGAGGTAGGCGAGGCAGCGATTGACCTCGTGCGAGTGCTCTTCTCTCCTCACAGTAAGGCCGCTCCACAGGTTGCTGCAGGCAAAGGCGATGCCCGGCGTCGTCGTCGTCGCCGCGAACTGCAGCGAACCGACTTTCTGCCGGTACTCTTCCTCCTCGTGTTCCTGCGCCTCCTCATCGTCGAATGTCATCTCGGTATAGGCGTCAACCGAGACCAGCCTCTTCAGGGTGCGCCTCGTCGATGAAGCGCCTGCGCAGCTTGTCGACGTAGTTCTACAAGTGCAGCCACAGCTTCCTCGCCGGCCTGTCGCGCACGATCTCCTGCATGAGGTACTTCACCACTGGCGAGACCTCGCGCAGCTCGAAATTGGCTTCTAGCAGCTCCTTCAGCATCGAGGTGGTACTGTTGGTAGCGATCAGGTTTTCTACGTAGACCAGCACCCAGCAAGTCACTTTGTTGTCGCCAACCTTGAAGTAGGGAGCCCTATACCACAGCAGCGGCGACTGCTTCAGCCTGTAGAGGCTCTTCAGCAGCTTGCACACCCATCAGGTCCCGTCGTTGAAATAGTCCAGCTGGTATATATACAGCATGCATTACATACCAATATGAGCGGTACCAAGAGTAAGCGCGTTACTTAGCCATATGAGTGGTACCAAGAGTAAGCGCGTTACATAGCTATATGAGAGGTACCAAGAAAAAGCGCGTCACATAGCCATATGAGTGGCACCAGCAGTAAGAACGTTACTTAGCCATATGGCTGGTACTAAGAGTAAGTGCGTTACTTAACCTTATGACTGGTATCAAGTAAAAGCGCATTACTTAGCTATATGAGTGGCACCAAGAGTAAAAATTCGCATTATATAGCCATTGAGCGGTACCAAAAATATGCGCGCTTACTCTTGTTACCACTGATATGGCTTTGTAATGCCCTTACTGTTCGTGCCACTCATATCGCTAAGTAACGCCCCTCCTTTTGGTACTACACATTTGGCTATGTAAAGCAATTACTCTTGGTACCACTCATATGGCTATGTAAAGCGCTGAAATACTCTTGGTACCACTCATATGGCTATGCAAGTCGCTTCCTCTTGGTACCACATATATGGCTAAGTAACGCGCTTACTCTTGGTACCACTCATATGGCTAAGTAATGCGCTTACTTTTGGTGCCACTCATATGGCTATGTAACGCGCTTACTCGTGGTACCACTCATATGGGTAAGTAACGCACCTACTCTTGGTACCGCTCATATGGCTATATAATGCGCTTACTGTTGGTGCCTCTCATATGGCTAAGTAACGCGCCTACTCTTGGTACCGCTCATATGGCTTTGTAATGCCCTTACTGTTGGTGTCACTCATATGGCTAAGTAACGCCCCTCCTTTTGGTACCACTCATATGACTATGTAAAGTGCTTACTCTTGGTACCACTCATATGGCTATGTAAAGCGCTCACTCTTTGTACCACTACTTTCGCTATGTAATGCTTTACTCTTAGTACCACTTATATGGCTAAGTAACGCGCTTGCTCTTGGTACCATTCATATGGCTAAGTAACGCGCCTACTCTTGGTACCACTCATATAACTTTGTAATGCCTTTACTGTTGGTGCCACTCATATGGCAAAGTAACGCCCCTCCTTTTGGTACCA